CCCCCCCCTTCTGCTCTCTCTGAAAAGCAATGGAAAAATATCCTTAGGTGAGGATTAAAAACAAAACAAAACAAAAAACCAAAACATTTCTTGTGTTCATATGGCCCTAAAAGTTAAATTTTCTTCTAGACTGAATTTGCATAATTGTTAGTAGTATAAAATATATTATTAGTACAAGTATTTCACACATTTTGAAAATAATAAACTAAAATTGTTTTGGAGACACTTTTCTCAATGAGAAAAATGTATGGCCCTTAGGGCCTTGATTAAATGAAGCTTTGAGGACCCTAATAGTTGTTGGTTTAAGATTTTTTATTGATTTTTAGAGTGAGAGGGGAGAGACAAACATTGATGTGAGAGTGAAACACTGATTAGCTGCCTCCTGCATACCCACAACCTGGGTATGTGCCCTGACTGGGAATTGAACCAGCAACCTTTTGGTGCACAGGATGACACCCAACCAACTGACCCACACCGGCCAGGGAGGACACTAATAGTTTTAATTGGCCTCTAACTTGGGCACCTTGGAAGTACTACAGGTTCTGGGTAAGACGGGTGATGTGGCAGAGGGGAAATCAAAAGGGCTGGAGGGAAAGGAGATCTGGCATGAGTTTCACACTAGGCAGATAACTTGGGGGAAAGAGAATACATGGAGGTTGAGCATCTGAACAACTCATTTTTTAAAAAACTGGTTTCACTGTGAAACAGGTACCCCTTTGACCCCTTGCTGCGTCTTTGAGAACCCCTGTAGGTATGTGTGTATCCCAGTTTGAAAATTGCATTGGAGATAATGAAATGTGGGAAAAGATGGATCAGAGCTGGATGTGAACCCTAGTTCCCCATTGGCCACACCATCAGTCTGCTCTGGGGCATGCTGCCTGACCTCTGCACATTTCCACTTCCTCACTGTGTAAGTGATGGCTGTGAGGGTGAAGGGCCCAGGTGGGGCCTGGCATCAATGACCACCAGGTTCTCTCTGGCTCTGGGTGACTTTTTCTTGTAGACTGGACCAGCTCAGGGCCAGCTCCAGAACATATCTGATGCAAGTGTGTTGATCTAAAATGTGCTTATTTCCTGCTCTCTTGATTTCTATTTGCTGGGAAGTATCTGAGGTTGGTGAGGGAATGCCTACTGAAAAGCACAGTTAACAAATGATTTTGGTATTTCCCTACATCTTGGGGCATCAAAGGGGTGATTTTTCCCATAGAGGAGCATGAGCATATCTGAAGGTTCTGTTGAAACTATTTTCTTGAAGTGAGAGGATAAAAGACCTCAGACAGGAAAAAGAGAGAGCGACAGAGACAGACACTGAGCCAGGTTCCCACAGAGAGTTTATTGAGGGAGCCAAAGCCAGTGAGAGGACGAAGGAGTCCTACTTGAAGGAGCTCCTTGAAGCTTCTGGCCTCTGCAAGGCAGAACACTCTGGGAGGGAGGGCATGTCCTGTGTGAGGCCACATGGAGCCTCTCATACCACAGCCTGTTGGATCCCAAAGACCCAGGCACAGGAGAGAAATGATATAATTCCCACCCCAGGAGGGTGCTGAGGACAAGCCTTACCCTCCCCCAAAGGGCTACAGCTCTAGCCATCAGGACCTCTGGAAGAAAGGCCAGGATGCCTGGCCCTCTGATTGGCCGGTCTAATCCTTAATGTGAAGGCCTGGGCAATGGGCCTGGCTGACAGCTCAGGTCAGATCTGGCCCCAGGCATCTACTCTAGGAACTAACACCTAACATCCAAACATGATTAAAAACACTCAGAACAGTTCTCTTGCTGACAAAGGCCACACCCCAGATAATGGCAGTCCTGCCAGACCACAGCCAGAGATAGAGACCCAAGCTGAATGGGGTGTTGGATTGTGAGGAGACCCACGGGGAGGATTTTCCAGGGCTCAGTTAGGGCCCCCGAAAGCCTGGGCTTCTGTTTCTCCCCATCCAATGCCAATGATTACCCAAAGATCCCCCAGAAGGGAGAAAAGGAAGAGAAGGCAGAGAACTTATCAAGAGGTTCAGCCATGTATGGGCTGGAGGTCAGATCTACTGGGGTGAGGAAAAGGCTGAAGAGGGGTGGGGCACTGAGGCAGGAGAACTAGGGTGATCCTCAGACTCTGGCATGTCATCCTGGAAGTACTCAGCCTGGCGGTACTGCCACAAACGCAGGTTCCCGTCCCACTGCAGGGCAGAAGGGGCAAGTAGTCAGGGAGTGCTGCTTCCTCCCAGTTCCAAGTCCCAGACATGCACTGGCCCCCCTAACTCTTGCAACCTCACCGAACTGCTGACAATCTTCTCCTCAAAGGGGTGCCAACTGACATCACGCACACAGGCCTTATGGTTGGTCAGCTTCTTCACGATGTGCCCGCTAAGGAGGTCGTACACTGTTGACAAAGGCTAGAGTGGAGAGGGCTGCCATAGGGCCTTCTAGCCACCTCTCCCTGAGCAACACTACTTACCTGCCTCTCAGGCAGCTTCCCACTTTCCCAGGGGAACAAAACCCACAGCAGAGGATGGGCTGTTTCTCAGTTTCTTTCCCTTTCCCTACCTCAGATTGAGGGTATGGTCTAGCAGAACTTGGGTATCTCTGGTCCTCAGCTAAATTTCACTAGGTCTACGCTTAAAATGCAATGTGCCTTTAAAGCTTTTAGCAGCAATTTTCTAAAAAGCCCACAAGATCTGGAAGGCACCACAAAAGTGAACAATAAATGTCTCCACAGACATGTGAACCTGTTGTTCTTATCTAGACGGGGCGCACCTTTCTCTCTTTCTGGGTCTCCATCTGACTGCACAGTTTCAGGTTCCTTATAGCTGTAACTGTGCATTCCTCCTGCTTCAGGGGATGAATGTCTGTGTGTGCCATTCTTTTTAACCTCTGTTCCCTCTTACCTTTCATCTGCAATCTCTTTCCTTGACTGGCTACAAAACAGAACTGAGTATATTTCTGGTAATCTATTATATTTACTGACTAGAATTCTATGTTCCTTGTCTTAATTTAAAATGCTGATGAATAGAATGTTTTCTGTTTCTGTTTAAGCCTCCCTTGCTCCAAGCTAAATTAACTTCCACTTGTATATGTCACTAAATTTTTTAAGGTGGTCACTGCTAGTTACAACCAGTAGAATGCCCAAGAAACATTTCTGCCCTTTCCAAGGGCCTCTGTTCTGACACAAGCCTTACCAACCACTTTGCCAGTGGAGCAGCCACTATAGATGAACTGCTGGCCAGTGCTATGGGTGGGAGAGAATCGGCATCGGATGAGGGTGTGCAGCACCCCATGGCCCCGGTAGGTCATCAAGGAGCTGTCCCCTGGGAGCTTCAGCTTCCGCCAGGCTGGGTAGGGGTGCAGGGAAAGCCTTAGGTTAAGAATCTGGATTCTCTCAAATCACCAGTCCTTAGGCAAATATCGATGCTCACAATCATCTTTCTAACCCCCAACTGGTGGCTCTTTCCCAACCTAACAGTCAACTGGTATTTACCAACAGTCAGTTGGGCCTCCTGCTGATCGTTAAGAAACTTGAAATACTTTTGTATTGGTTAGTTCTGAGTGATCCCCAGCCCCAAACCCTGGGAATCCCTATGGTTCAGCAAACAAAGAGTAATACCTGGCAAGGGGACATTGGGGGAGGACTCCAGGACTCAGCTCTAGGCTACAGACATACTCACTGTACCCACGACAGGCCTCTCCAGGGGTTAAATATTTTAACTACCATCCCTGACTCTTTACTCTCCAGATCTCAGGCTCCATCTTCCACTCTCACCTTTTTTGGGCACCTGCTGCCAGCGGTAGTCCCAGTTTTGCTGTGTGGCAGCCTGGCGTGAGGCTTCCATGCCTTCCCGGCTGGAAAAGCGCCGGATATCCCAGAGCTTGATGGTCTGGTCTTTGGAATTAGAGATGAGATACCGGGCATCACCCTGTGAATCCCAAGATAGATGACGAAGTGTCAGAGCTTGCAAATGTCAGTGCTGTCAGTCCAGTTCCTTTCTCCATATGAGGGGTAAAAATGCCAGTCCTCTGATTTTGCTTGCTTCTTTCCTCATCCAGATGGGCTCACATTGGTTTTCTACCTCAGATCCCACCCCCTGGTTAGGCTTCCTCTTCTGTGCCCATGGCACTGGCTGGGTCTCCTATCCTATCCTGGATTAACTGTCTTCTACTTTTCTTTCTTTTTCTTAATTTTTTAAAATACGTTTTTATTGATTTCAGAGAGGAAGGGAGAGGGAGAGATAGAAACATCAATGATGAGAGAGTCATTGATCAACTGCCTCCTGCATGCCTTCTACTGGGGATGGAGCCTGCAATAGGGTGATGTGCCCTGACCAGGAACTGAACCATGAACTCCAGGTTCACAGGTGGATGCTCAACCACTGAGCAATGCTGGCTGGGTGTCTTCTACTTTTCTTGTACAGAAAGCCCTGCCTAGCTCCATCAGTGTTGGGTACCAATGGATCTCATATTTCCTGGCTTAAGCCCCTTTCCTAAACTCCGGCTCTTACAAACATGGCTAATAAGGACCCTAGGGGAGTTCCCATACCAGTCCCCTTTGATACCCTCTCCTGGACACCCAGAGCCTGGCTACACAGTGCTGCCTCCCTGCCCACCTTGCTGTCAATGAAGGTGATGCCATCCTGATGTCCGGCCAGTGCACCCACGGGCTTGGGGTCATCCTCCCGCATGGTGCGTCGATCCCATACTTTGCAGATGGCATCATCACCCCCAGAGAACAGGATCTGGGAGCTTATGTCAGCAAAGGCCACTGCATTCACATCATCCTCATGGGACTCAATCTAGGGGAGAAAGAGGTCAGGATATCTAGGACCTCTTTCTGGATCTTCTAATAGCCAAGGACCAGGAATTAAGACTCTAAGTCTCAGGAGCAATACCTGAAGGGTGCGCCGGTTCTGTTCTCGATCAAAGACATACAGGCAGCCATCATTGGCCCTGAAAGGGAAGGGATAAAGAGGCTCCTGGAGCCAGGGCTGAGAGGATTGCTATGTGTGCTCTGGAGAGTCCCTGTTGTGAAGTCCTGCTGAGGGGCAAACCTCTGTCTCTTCTTATACAGAAGGTAGAAGAAGAGTTAGGAGGTTTGAGATCTCCCATCTCATTCTGGGTAAATGGTGAACAAGAGATGAAGCGAGTCGTAAACCTTGACCTTGGAGAAGGGCTGGTTGTTCTCCATAGCTGCTTGGGTAGAGCAGTAGAGCTGGTCTCTGTAACAGTAGAGCTGGTCTCTGGGAGGACTCTGTGTCATTAACTGAGGGCAACATCCCCCGCACTCACCCTCCTAGCACTTCTCGTCCATCTGAGGAGACAGTAATGGAGAAGACAGCAAAGCGACGTTCATCTGGCCTGAAAAGAGCAAAGGAGGAGCTGATTTAGCTTTTGTTAATCCAAATAGAATCTGATGAGGGTTGTAAGGCACACTTCTCAGGGGAAAAGAAGTCCTGCCAACATGAGCCAGAATGTGGATCACCTCAGGGAGAACCCAGAAATAATCCTGCAACCATCTATTTTACCCTGGTCCTCTGCTGACAGGATGGGTGGGTCCCTCCCAGGAATCCACACAGAGAAACTTGCAACCAGTGTACTTTTCCCTCTAAGCAGGAGTTCCAGTTCAAGAGGTTTGCTCCTGGAGAGCCTTCCTTGAGAAGTTTCTGATGAGACTGACCAGGAAGGGAAGCCAGTACCTTAGATCCAGGGCAGTGTGTGTGTCTCCCTCCCCGTAGATGTTGCAGATATGAACTAAGAGAAGCAAGAGAAACAAGAATCTTTCAGGGCTAGGGGAAGACAGGTGGAAGTGTAGCTAGAGAGGAGATGGAACAAAGGGCCAGGATGTTAGACCCTTGAAATGGTCTTTCCAGGAGAAGGCGTGGAATCCTGGTACAGAGGAGGTGGGCGTTTGGAGATCTCATCCCAGGCTGGCAGTCTGGGGCATACTCACTGTAATCAGACCAGCTGGAATATAGGAAATGGTTCCCATCAGGGGTGAAGGCCACATCCAGGACACTCCAGCCTACATCTCGGGCCTTGATGCTCTTGAATTTATGAAAGCGGCCATACCGGCAGTCATACAGTCTGATTGTCTGGTCTGTGCAAGTGGGGACCAGGCAGAATTAGGGAATACCCTCCTCGAATCCTCCCCAGACCAGACTTCTCTCAGTGTATCTGAGAAACGTGCTCTGACTAAGCATCCCTAAGTCAGGATCTGGGCCTTTCTAGCCTCAGCCAGAGGGAACATTCCTTGTTTGAGGGCAGTTCATAGGACAAGGTCAGGTACCTTGGCAAGCAGACATGAAGATTTGACCATCTTTGCTGTAGATGCCACAGAAAGCCTTCTGAGAGTAGGTATCAGTGAAGCCCAAATCATTGGGCAAGAAGCTGGGGAAGCAGAGGGAAAGTGAGGGTAAGGGGAGCTCAGGATGAGGAAGATCCTGGTTAGCAGATCCTAAGAAAGCTGGATGTGAGTACAAGGGCATTCTTCCCTTTTGGCCTTGGGTAGAATTTCCTTTCATTTATTCTGTCATCCTCTCAATTACTATACTTTTCCACTTTGTTTACTCTTAAAGCATTAACCCCACATAACCTAACCTTAAAATCCCTGAGGATCCTCTAACATCTATCCCTTCAAAATTTAGGAGACAAGACCTATCTGGGTTTTAGAGTCTCTCCACCAAGCCCCATACTCACTGAGACATCACTCGAGACTGTTCTCCAAGGGAGAAGCTTCCCCGGTGGCAGAGGCCCCGTTCTCTCTAAAGGAAGGGATTGAGGAATACTGCTAGTGGAAACACAGGGTCACTTCAGCCACACCAAGCCCCCTCCTCCAAAGTTGTTGCTCTTGTTACAGAAATGGACACCACATACAGTATGTCCAACCAAACTCTGATGCAGGCTGGCTAAAACTCTCCAGCTCCAGCACTTGAGGCTTCTTTGGAAAGTTTATTGCCCTCCTCTTTGGGGCTAGGAGAGCTTCTGGCTACCTTGATAGGCCTGCTGCCAGGCTGGCAGGAGGTGGAGACGCCTACCTGGTACAGCATTTGAGGAAAGCTGTGCTCCCGGGCTGCCCGCCTAAGCCCCAGCCGACCTGTGGCCAATTCCACTTGTGTCTTGATCTCATTACATTCCAGCTCCTGGGTGTCAGGGGTTGCATCCACTGTGAGGACCAAAGAGAAGTTTCATCCTAGGTCTTTCAGTCCCAGAGGACAATTAGCAGAACTGTGATCAAGCCCACTCAATATGGCTGCATATACTGGGTCTGCAAGGACTCCCTTATTCCCTAATTATCTCATTTTCTTTCAATTTAACCTATTATTCTTTGCCAAAATTAAAAAGAAAAAAAAATTTTCTAATGAAAGTCTCAGTCAGCCTTTCCTCTTACCAGGTGGGTTGTATCGGTCTCCAAGACGACCATCCCAGGCACTGTCATGCTCTTCCTCCGAGTCCGAGAGGGCCTGGATGAGTTGTAAATTTGCTGCACCTCCTCCCTGCACCAACCTCACTTGGCCCCTGTGGAGATACCCACCCCCCCATGATAAAGGGGGAGGATTCCTTTCCCAAACCAACCAAATTCAGAATCAATGGCTATCCAGTGCTTAGACCACCTGGTACTCATACTGTCCCCATTTTGAGGTCTGAGGTTGACTAGACCTTGGCTGTTATTTTCAGTTTTCTATAAGACACAGTAGGAAACTAATTCTCACTCTTTCAGCAGGAGTAGAGAACACCAACATTACATGGAGACTAACAGACCTACTAAGTTGACTTCCCAGAGAGTTAAAAATTCTGAGAGTATTTCCTTCTGAGCCTCTGCCCAAGTAGTCCAGCATAGAAGACAGTATTCTGAAGGGACCCCCAAGGTGTGTTCTCAAGAAGCCACAGCTAAGAAACAAAACCAGTTTCAAACCCTTTCCAGTCAATTCCTGGTGGTCACTTCCCTCAAAGCATTCTTTCTTCAAAAGCAGGGTTAGAGTTAGGTTCATTTAAACTTGTTTTTCAAGTAAATCTGGGTGGCTTCATATCACATGTAATTAACTTCATGAAGTTCAGCACCCACCTCCCCAACTCTTCTCTTCACCCCCTCCAATCACTCCTTTCCCATCAGGGCCTTTTTTTTTACTTACTTGAAAAATAGATTACAGTTGTGTAGTCATAGCTAGAGAGGCTCTCTTCAACAGTCCCCACAAACACAAGAGTGATATTTTGGTGACCCTCCCTAGGTTAGAACCACTCTTACTGGATAAAGAGCTGAGTGCTAAGAGTGTCCAGTAGAAAAAGCTGTTCGGCTCAAACAGGACAGTTGTCCTGGGCTAATCCCATTCCCTATCCTCTGTAACTTCCTGGCCTGGAGTTGGGATCAAGGGACTGTGGTAGAGCCTGGTGGGGACACACCAGAGGGCAAGTTACCTGCGAAGGAGATAGGCCAGTACCTGGGCCAGATCCACATCTTCATCCTCCTCTTCCTCTTCCTCACTCCGACGCAGGCCAGCCCCTCTTCGGGGCAAGCCCTCGGAGGAGTCTCCGGACCCAGTTCCTGCGCTGCTGCTGTTCCGTGATCCCATCTTCTGGTCACAGCATCCTTACGTCTTGTGCTGGGACTCCTCCTGTCACCTCCTTGGGTTTGGTGAAAGCAAAGCCTGCTCTAGAAATACTAGGGTCTCCTGAGATGGGGTAGCTATCTCTAGGAAGACGACACTTCTTAGGGACCGAGGAGATCCCTTTTTCTTTAGCCTGTGACAACTCCCAACGCTTCAGGAACACAAACCTTCCCCAGTCTTGCGAAGCAGAAAAAGAAGAGAGAAGCATAGGGGACTACCCTCGCTCACCAATGAGAATCCTTTGAAGGGGAATTTCTCAGTTTTCTACCTCAAACTCACCTATCAAAGTCCCTGGAGGGGGTGGATTCCCAGGTAACCTCTCTCACAGACCAATCAAAACCCCTAGCGGAAGAAAGCGCTTCATTAGCTTATCTCACCTAGCCAATCAGAAGCCTTAGGATTCAGAGACCCCCGACGCCCCCTTACCGACCAATCAGAGTGTCCCCTTGCAAAAGTCGGCAGCGGCGACAACCAATGACGTTATATTCAGCCTAACACCCCCTCCTTCCTAGCCTCACGCCCACGTGGTGTGCGGGGTGTGTGTACGCCAAAGTGGGAAGGCAGGGAAGAGGCCGAGAAGCCCCTCCCACTGAAGCCGGCGGACACCGCCACGCTCTGGACCACCCACCAGCCAGGAGCTGTCGTAGGAGCCGCAGGAGCGCAAGGCCTTGTTTACACCGACTGCAGCCACAGCGTTGGCCAACCGCTCCTTCGTCATGCGCCTCCTCTGTCACTCAGCTCCCGGCTTCCCCGCCCGCGGACTGCGTACGTCACGCGACGCCCTTAACGGCCCCGCCCCCTTGGCCCGCTAACTGGACAACTGAGCATGGTGATTGACAGGTGGGTGGGAGAAAGTGCGGGAGGGGTGTGAGGGGAGGAGACAGCGCGCGACCGTGGAAGGGCGTTCGCTACTTGTTGGGAGGAGTAAGTGGGGAACCGGTTGTTTTCCATATCAGAGACAGCGGAACTACAATTAATAGGTGAGGGGTGGAGCTTACAAAGACGTTGGTGGTTCGCTGAAGAGAGGGGTTTTAGCACGGGGATACAATTTGCCGTCGGTCCCTAAAAGTTCTTGTGGCTTCGCACTTTTCAGATGGT